CGGAGTCTAACCTTCAACCTTCAGGTCAAAAATAGCGCTACTGCATCGTGCTCTCCCGTATTTGACATAGTTATGAGAAATTTTATCTCTTCTACAACCAAACAGAGCATATTTCTGACAAAATTATACGATAATTTAAAAAAACTGATATTTTGCGAAAAATGGCCATAATATTTAACCAATATTTGTCACTAATTCACCAATATTATTGTCGCGGACAACAAAAAAATGCCCTTTACAATGGTCATTTCTAAAAGCCAATAATCAAACAAATGAGTTAAAAACGAACCGGTCAGTTCGAGTGTCAAAATAGGATGTATCTTCTTCACCCTCGAGCTGTGGCACAAATTCCGCTTTTTGTCGCAGCAGCGATTTAAAATCCAAGCCAGCGAAGAATGGATCAAGCATCAACTAAAAGCTGCCCGTTTATGACATGCACGGGCCATTACAAAACAATCAAAATTGGAATACAAGATGCATCACGGCCATCAAAACTTGTTTTTCGTATGTAGTTTGGTACTTAGACTAACTGTTTTTCTATCGAAACATTCTTTCGAAACACCGAGATAGCTGGCAATTTCCCCACCCTGTTCTTCTTTCATGCAAAGGCACATACACGGATTCATCCACTTTTAATTTCCGTTTCAGTTATTTTAAGTTAACTATCGCATCTAGCAGCATTCTCTTGAATTTTCATTAGCTCTTGTGCAACAACAATTTTAATTACATCATTATTATTATTAAGAAAAGCAGCCAGACATTTAAAGAAACAAACCTGCTGCGCGCCACTGAACGTTCCAAGCCGTTCTACTGGATCTTTTTCCAACAGACGCTTGATCAGCGACTCCGCTTCTATGGGAAGCGCTTCTTCGCCCTCAGGGAACTCCGCTTCATCTAAAAAAACAACTACCAATCAAAACAATGAAGAAAAACGCCCAAATCAATTGTATATCATTCAAAAATAAAAAGTTCAAAAATCTATACCAAGGGGAACTATCAGCACTAGCAAGCGTAGCATAATGCGAAAAGCGCCGCACTTATGCAGAAAACCAAGGATTCGATTTACGGATTCGTTGTTTGCTTTCGTGGAAAATTGGTATTACCGCGTTTCAGGAAGCCAAAATAAGCACCATCGAAAGCCTTGTCGTCATGTGACTGCTTTTCGCACATGCTATCGCGCGTTTTATTTCAGGATGCCTTTATCTTTCAAAAAGGGTGAATACGTGGAAGTTTTGATTTCTGATGAGCAAATTAT